CAAATCAAGAAACATACACATATCAAGAAACATACACATATCAAGAAACATACACATATCAAGAAACATACACAATATCTGTATACATACTATAAATAACTATAAATCTACATAACTATTTAAATCTGCTTACGAACTATATATAATTTCCCTCCTAATCTGAAAAGCACTAGATACAAAATTTGCAAGATTTCGAGTTAATTTTTCTTTATCTGTATTTAACAATTCTAATAATTTTTGCATATTCGGGCGTCTCCAATAATAGGACGGGATAAAAGTTGTCTCGATTCAGCGTATACATTACATTCTAATATAAAATGAAATTCTTCTTCTAAAATACCACATGCATAACAGATTCTTTCATTTATAGGTGTACTATTTGGTTTCGTCCATCTACCAGTTTCAATATGTAATCTATATGAGGACACCCTCAGACGTTCTAGTTCGCAATAATATTTTTTAACATTAACTAACCTAAGGTATGGTTGCAATTTAAAACATGATATTTGCCTGTAAAATAATGCTCTACTGGAATCCTGTAAACGACTTGACCAGTTTTGAACAAAATGATCTCTTAATCTTTGTTTTACCACAAATAAAAACATATCAATATTTCCAACACTTTGCATAAGCCAGGCGTCATGGAACCCTAAAGAACACAAAAGAGACTTAACTAAGAAGCACCAATTTGCTTTATTAGGATGGTTTTCGAAATCAGTTTTCAATAGATTATACACTTTATATACATATTTGTTACTTTTTGTATGAATAATTTTTATCCAATATTTCAAAACATTATAATGTCGGAGTGCTTGAAAGGAAACTCTACCAAGCTCACCATAAACAAAATCGTTTTGAGTGCTTTTTTTCACACCTAAAATACTTTAGCAAAATTGCATATGCACTCTTTCTATATTGTTACCTGTAACAAAACCCCAAACTTCGCTACCATATGAAATAGTTATACTGAACTAAGTGTTATAGCGCAATAGAGTAGGTAAACTACCGGTTTATAATTTCTAAATGCCCCACGTGTTGTAAGATCGAGACAGCGTATGTCCATGTACTTATTTTGGTAAAGATATACTCTTTTCATTCGGATTAAACTTAATAAATGTCATTTCAATAGTATTTTAAAACATTTTCAAAACGAGACAAAAAAATTGTTTTTAAGTTGCCCTTTTTACCCCTTTAAACACAAATTTTGCCCAAACACTCGGCCATTTTCCCTTAAAATTTTTGCAACAATAAAGAAAGGGGGGAGGTTTTCATGGCAACAGTAAATATCAAAAAAAAAAGACCTTTAAATTTTTTGTTTGAAAAAATTTAAAAATTTTTATCACAATTGTCATTATTTATAATATTGGCAACCCGATGGAAATTTCCTGTAAAATGTTTGCATATAAACTCTTGCGGTTTGTTTGTTTGTTTGTTTCTTTTGACACCTTTTTCAACAGTATTTCAGTAATATAGGCGAACTCCTGCGGTATTTTTCGCAATTGTAACAATTTTATTCATAATTCATAATACACACATTCGGTTACCAAGCAATCATTGATAACGTTAATGGGAAATGACAACTTTCAGTATTTGTTTTGATTTCAAAAAATCTTACATAATCCATCAAACTTTTTGTAATATTGTATTGCAACCATTTTGATTAACTAAAGTGAAACCATCACTGCCAGTATTTCTGGCGAATCTTACGTTGATAATATAACAAGAGAAAACTTTACAAAAATCTATTAACTCTCTTCCAAACTTAGTCAGTTAAGTATCATTTGGAGCTCTTAAAGTACCAATATCATCATCAACTATATCGTCAATTTCATAAAGTTCTTGAATTTTGAATGTGTGTGTAGTAATTAGAAAATCACAGTGACTTAAGTGACTGTTCAAGCACTGAAATCTTCATGTAGCATCAGATCAGTATTTAAGAAATTGTTTCTTAAAAACAACCTTCTAAAAACTTTATTGCCAGTAAAAAACGGTGAGTGTTCTGGTGAAGAAAAAAATAACATATTAAAACATCATTTTCTAAATCAAACAAACTTTAACTTTTCGTAGTATAGCATCATTCCATAGCTGAACTCACCACAAGCCACAAGCGCGCCTAGCAAACTTTGTATAACAGTTTTTAACAAGCACAAATGCCAAACTCATATATGTTTCACCGCAGGTAGACAATTTTGCTGATAAATAAAATGATGAAAATTCAAGAAAATATTTATCGAAATAACTATTGTTATCATTCCATGTCTCTCCCATGTAACATTTATGTTATACTTCAGTTACACAAAAATGTCATGTTTTTATATTTTTCGTGTGATAATATACCGCATGAGCCTGTACACATCTTTCAATAGTAAAACAGTTAGAGTCGACAGCAAAATACTGACTATATAAATGACGCGTTTTATATGTGGTACTTTTAAGATATAATTATAAATTTATGATACTGACATAATACAGTTATAATACTATTATCAAATTATTATGTTATTAAAATGCATAGTTGATTAAAAATGATTTAAGTATAATTATACTACAGACACTTGGGGTGTGGGGCTCAAAACGTCTTTAATTTCCAAATAAAATGTCTATTTGTCAATCCCAACTTATGTCGTGATCATATACATATAAAAAGAAAATTAATACAAGCCGTTTTGAAAAAATAATCATATTTCGACATCTATAATAATACACAAGATAAAAATTATCGCCAGAAAAAAATTCGCACACCTACCGTCAAAATCACCATGTATTTTATCCTATTTCTAATATTTTCACATCATCATTTTGTCCATCGACACAAAAAATATTATTGGCCACACGATAATGGTCAATTTTAAACTTTAACATCAATATAAACAACGCAGCAGGCGAAATCGTTTTACCCCATTTACAAAATCTTTCGACAGCTTCAAAATTAGCTACCAGCTTTATTGAAAAATACGGGTATCGTGCAAATGTAATGTTATAGATTTAGACAAAAGAAACTACAAAAATGAAAATGTAACTTCCGTGATTAAATCAGCACATATTTGAGCTTGAACCTTGCAATATTTTGTAAAACGCATTCAAAATTAATTAACTTCCCATTTGAATTCATTTATGAGCAAATGTGATGATTCTGAATTTAACAAAAATAACAACAGCAGCAGTAGGAAAAAAAATTGACAAAGTAATCATACATTCCCAACCCCCTAGATAAAAAAAATATATATATATATATATATATATATGTAAGAAAACACATCAATGAGAATATTAGAACTTCAAAGGAAAGATTTGATTCGAATTCTTGTCATCGTCTTGTATTACTATGTGCCCTTTCGCTAAACCCAATAAGGAAAATAGCTCATGGACCTTGCATCCGCAGGTTTGGCTATTGTCTTTCCTGATGAAATTTAGTTAATGACACCCGTCCATAATCGCTTATCTAGATGATTAATGCGAAATGAACTCGAACAATAATGAGTAAAGAACTACACTTACATAACATACCGCAGATTAATCACTGTTCAAACAAGATAAAGTCAAACGGAGATAAAAATGTCCTTGAACATTAGGAGTCTAGCTAACGTTAATATTTAATTTCTGAAAACCGAATGAAAATTGAGCATGATTTGAAAACAACTTGTGTTTTACTCAACATACATACAAAATTTTGATTTTTAAATTAGAATATTTGAATATATTTCCTGGTTTGATATTTTAAGATAGTGATCAAAGCTCGATTATGTAAAATACGTGATAGAATATTTATTAAACTCAAATTCGAATAAAAAAGACATACGCTTATATACGGTAAAAAGTTAAAAATTATCTAAATAACCAACACTCAGCATAGTAAACATATAAAAGTTATAACCAATCATTTTGCCGAACAATTATACACATGATCTTCAGGGACAGCATATGTATAACGTTTGCGGGTTTATTAGAATTCTAAATGTCAATGCTACAATTTCAACTATGTTCCAATAAAGGTGTTTTTTTAACTAATCAGAAAAGCGTTTATTGAACTAAGAAATTTTCCAGACGATAGAGCAGTTATTTACAAAAAGGAACGGTAATCTGGTGCTCAAATGTCTGCTTTTCAGCCGGGGTATCATTAATTTCGGCTTTGGTCACAATTATTCTCTTTTCCCTTAGGTACGTGCACGTCGTGGAGAAGGCACAGGGCATCGGCAAAAGATTGGAAGAACTTGTGATGGCGAAAAACTGATAAAGAACAGAATTGTACCTGCGTCCCAGCTGCTGGTATTCAGACTGAAGCCGTATGGAGAGGCTATACAAAGTAGGCAGATACAAAGAGGAATGGTTCTAGTGTGCGTAAGCAAAAAAAAGACGCCTTAAACTGCGATGCCCTTAACTAGCATAACAGTCCTTTTCGGGGCTACCTTTTCCTTTACATACTCTTAGCTAACTATTCATTTAGGTTCTCATTGGTGGTGGTACAGATACCTACTTATTGCTCATAATTATTATAGATATTTGCCTAATAACTCTTGGAAAAAACATGGAATTAATGCTTAAGGGCATGACTGGCGATATGTCCGGGGTCCATACTCGTCAGAAAAAGCAGCTTATGGTGTCTTAATTGGCGGATGAGCCCTTTTTTAACATAGTCTACAAATATAAATATGCTTTTTCTAAATATAGGTGCTGATGCAAGTAGCAGACTCAGATGATGAAAGTTAGATAAAAACACTCGTTACCAAATATATAAGGATGGACTGTGGTGTTCAAACGTTATTAGTTTTCAAATATGATTTATGATTCATAATTATACGATGGTGTAGAAAATTGATAATAATATATTGCCTGAATATAATTTAACAGGATGTTATTTAGAAAACATAACATTCTTCATGTCTGTCCGTCTGTATAAATCCTAACAGTATCCGAGCGCCATGCAACTTTTCAACCGACATTAGTTACCCAATTATTTTAGCAGCTGTGAAAAACATAGATAACAAATAATTTTTACTTACAATAGAAACTCAAAAATCCTCTAATTTATTGTTTGTAAAATTAAAAGAAACAGATAGTTCTTGGGTAGTCAAATTATTCCATTAGCGTGTACGCAATGAGGAATGATGTAGACGATTCCATTTAAACAGGAAGTTCGTTCAAGATTAGCCGATCGTTTTTTTTACTCTATTTTTCATTTTATCAACGCTAGTCACATGATATTAAACTTTAATGTATTCTGATTAGAATGAGCTGTAGCTCTAGATATTTACAAAATGTCAACGTCATTTTAATACTTTTCTTGTTATTAAATTTTATCGCGGAACTCTTATTCTTCTGTAATAATTTGTTAAACTTAAAAAAGAGTTACAAATCTTTAAGGCAAATTTTCGCAAGTGAGTGAAAATCTTTCGCAAAATAGTTAATATTTCAGCAAAATGATTTTTATTTTAAGCACGTAACCATTGTATATATTTCTTTGGTAATTTCACGTTCCCGGTGTAAAAGGACATGCTAAAAACTAACAACCTTTTAACGGAATACCATTGGGGGCCATCGTGGTTATACTTTATAATCCAGAGGGTGACAATGCAACAACGACAATATGACACGTGCTATTACGAAAATGCGATAGTGCGATGGTGACAGTGTGCCAACGCGATGACGACAGTATGATAATGCGATAGTACGATGGTGACAGTGCAATAATGACAATACAAAAGTGCGATGTCGACAACGCGATCGTATTACCGCACTATCGTGTTATCACACAGTCGTCATCGCAATCGCACTTTCGTATTATCGTACTGTCATCATTATTATTATCACATTGTCGCCAACGCACTATCGAATCGCACTATCGAATTGTCGTCATCGCAATATGTATTTCCGCCATCGCATTGTCGGCCTCTAAAATATAAGGTATAACCACGATGACCCTAACGGTATTCCGTACCTTTTGGAGACATTTTAAGTACTCTATAAATATATACCTTAAATCTATTGAAGATTAGTTGAGAATTAAAACTATACATTTATAAACCGTAGGTTGGAGTAAAAGATAAAAATTAAAACAACTAGTCTAACCAGTCGTTTTGATATTTAATGGAAGACATAAACGCATTATGGCCCTTGATCACTCATCTGAGATTCATGCAAAAGTAAAACCCCTGTCACACCAGGGCGGCGTTCTCATGGCGTCAACACCGATGTGAACGCAGTAAGATTGCAAATATTGCCGCAGCATCGTAGTCGCATCACGTAGAACGCCGACCAACGGCGTGCATTTGGAGCATGCTCATTCTGTTGAACATTTTAAAAATACTTTGATGATTGACAAAACGCTTTTCTAAGGTAGATTTGTGCCATGGCTTTTAGATTAATATAAAACGATACACACTTTATTACAAAGTACGAAAATGGTGTTTATTGTTCACGCAACATATCTTTTTTTAAAAAAAATCCTCATGTTCGGAATTACAATCATCGTTCGGTATGACGGACAGTTGGTAGATCTTTTGATCGGACGATAACGCCTTTATTTGTATTGGTTAGTGTTCTAATACCGGCCAAAATTGTAGCATAATTACTAATCTATTGAAGAGTTGCCTCGTTTTAGTTTAAAATGCTCATAATTCCGACCGAGTAAAACGTGGCTTAAGTGTTCGGAAATAGGTGCACCTGCTCTACTTGGCAATAAAATAGAGAAAAACAGAATCCCTAAAGAAAGTCCAACACGGCAAAATTGAAAAAGTTGCAGGCTCAAGTGCAAACTACTGTCCACGCCCCCTAGCACCGGCTTATGCAGAATTCAACATTTTAAGATGGAAATGGTGAAATGTGGAATTTGGAAACATCTAAAGATGTGTTTGTACTGCGGTTATCTTGGACCCTTCAATGTGACACGTGTCATTCCATGAAAAGCGGCGTATGGCCCCCAAGTAATAGAATATGGTAAACAAGATCAACAAGGAAAGGCAGCGTTCAATTAACGCAACTCCTCCCCCCCAAATACCATAAACGAGAAAACAATGGGCGGAGCTTAACAAAATTGAATTTTGAAAGGGGAGCACTACATGTATGGGAGAAACTATAAACGTCGGGCAAACTTCAGATAAATTATTCGAAATATTGGAAAGAAAAATATACAAAAAAAAGCGAGAATAAAGATCAACAAGGCAAAGGCAACGCTTACAGGACAAAGTCAATTGCGTACCACCATTTTGACGAAGGTATTGAGCCTTTGAATGCAGTGATCACAAATCAAAGTTTGCAGAACGTTGGTCATCTTTGTGATCAAGAAAGTGAAAATATGTAACCAATTGCACAACATGCTGGTGACTGCCTCATCTGGACATTATTCTTATTTGAAAAGCGCCTTTACTTGCAAAACACGTCTTTATAGTGAACACATTCAGAGGTGTTTAATGCCCTGGATTCCATGTAACAAGACGAAGTAAGCATTGCTGGTCTGGTCTTTCAACAGACATTGTCATAGAAGAAAAGTCTTAATGAGGTCAATGAAATCAACAGAAGACTTAACAAAGAAGGTAAATGTCAGACACCCAAATACCTATGGGACTTTTATCAATGCCGACATGTCTGCAATGCAGGAATTCAGCCAAACTTTTTAAAAAACAAGTGAGCAGCACAAGGAAAAGACCAAAGACAAGAGTTTCTAGAGATTCAAAAGATATGCAAACCATGTTGAAATTTCTTTACGAGAGAAAAAAAAATGACCCATGAGAAACAAAACTCAGAAACATAGAAAGTAATGTCACCGCTTATGATTCTGTAAACGTTGATCGCGCCCATGCCACTGGAGAGACTATAGCTCGGGGAATGAAGGGTACACTTCCGCTGAAATATACGTTCAAACGATCATTGCAGTCAATTCCAATCCATGCACTTTTAGACGGTCAAGGCAAGCAAATTGACACTAAGCTTTTGTTCCAGCGTCTTATAACTGCTGCTGATATTGAGGATGCATCTTCAGTTTTTCAGTATAAGTTATCAAGTCAACCAACATCTCGTTTTGATAACACTGCTTTATCACGGGAGGCTCATAAGTGTACACTTGCAGACGCAATATGAAAACTGTGCAAGTTTGAAGTATGTCTACCTACCAATGTGGACGCATCAGATTTGATTGTTATTGATAAAAGATCACTGCCTCACCGACTTCCATGGAAGGTTCGACAACCATATATGTCACATTTATGCATGCTATTTAAGGCAAAGGTATCAAAACTACATAAATGTTGTATTTGATAGACACAAAAATGGACCCGACAAGAAAGATCGACGATTTACTTCGAACAAAGGAAAAAAGTTAGCACCCGAGTAAAATTAACCACCGATACCCCTCTCCATATGTAGGAGGTATTCCTTAAAAATCAAGAGAATTAGTCAGACATTCATTGAATAAGATGCATGCTGAACGAGTGTTTAAAGTATTACATGCACAAGGAGATGCAATGATACAACAACGAATCTTACACAGGCAAATCCTACTACAGTGATTGGAAAAGACACTGATTTGTTGGTTCTTCTGATTCACCACAACAATAGATCAGACTTGAGTAAAATTCAATTTAGATCTGATATGTAATATCTGCAGGGAAGACTATAAAGTTAGGGGATATAAGAAACACACGATCAGCACTGGGATCAGCGCTCTGTCACAACCTTCTATTACTGCATGCAATAACTGGGTGTGGTACAATATCCATGATATTTGGCTTTGGAAAATCTACTGTTCAAAAAGACCCTCGTTTCGTGTCCTATGTGAGAGTTACTTGACATCTACTAGAAATCTACCACAAGTTCAATAAGAATTTGTTAAAGAGTTATCAACGTCCCTCGTCTTAGGGTAGTCATGAAGCACAAAATCTGCTATTTAAAAGATTGAGGTATGGATAAGGACTTTCAGTGCAAAATTTTGATCAATGCTAGAACTGCACATGGAAGTAGCAATAATGCACATGAAAGTAACAATAAACTCATTAAAGAAATATAATGAAATAACTCCCTGTGTATACATGTGTATGTATCAAGCGATAAAATCTATTATTTCGTTTCTAACACGACATTAACAAATGCTGCCGTAGAGCTACCTGATAATTAAAAAAAAAACAACAAAAAAAAACATGATAAACAAGATCAACAAGGAAAGGCGGCGTTCAATGAACGCAACCCCCATATGACCCAGCAACAAGAATCAATGGCAAGGAGCCCAGGCGGATCCCAAACAAAAACAGGACAGGTCAAAGACAGAGCACGGACAGGTTAATCATTAAATGATAAATAATTTGTAACTGATCAGGAATTCAAAGAAAATAATAATAGGCCCACAAAGGGAAGGGGACAGGAGACCGGGGAATGGGGGAGGGGGGGGTGTTAATCAAAGAAACAAAAACCAGAGGCAATTGGGAAGATACTTACCGAAGACGAGAAAACAACAAGGGACACAACCAAAAGTGTCACCAAAACAGTACGAAACAACATAGACATACATCTGAGGAACACAGTGGGGCGCCGCCTTGGAACGGTCAGCAGCATAATAATGACTGCTTGGGAGTTTAAACCGGTTAATGGTGCACCGAACCTCGCTCTTAGCCCCACCATGTTCCTTTAAACGAGACAGTGTAAATAAAATGAATCCCCGCCAAGTGAAATTCTAACAGTTGTCATGGTTACAAAAGGGTTAAATAAGTAAAACACTAAAATGATCATGTAGAAACATATAAAAGTAAACCCAATGACCATAACAAAAGTACTCAATGTCCTAAAGGAAGACAGAGCAACAAGAAAATCACCTACAAGGTCCCGACGAGCAAGGCAGAAGACGAACATTAAGACTATTCAGTCCCAAAGGGCTTTACGAACTATCCATCATAGAGTCTCCCACTTGGTCCGTCAGATGCAATCAAAAGAGGAAAGCGTGGTGTCCAACTGTAAAAGGGTTAAACACTAAACATGCAGTATGTCTTAAAATAGTAGGGTCATAACCTCTTTTAATAAAACGTTTAATGATTTTAGTAAAAACAGCAGAAAAATTACCATGACCCAAAATCTTACGAAGTTTGTAAATCACATCGCCATAAAAATCAGACTGGCTAATCCCTTGTCGCAGAAGAGTTTTTAAATCACTATTGAAT